TTTTTTTTTCTTTTCTTTTAAGGCAAAGGTGTTGGGATATCATGGTAGAACCGTAGAACTGACCGGCCCCAGGTAATTCAGAATTCTTCTATTTCATTCAGGTAGTGTCATCTGGGTTCGAACTCAGTTCTATATTTTGACAGGTCATGGATGTACCAACTGATCTGAGCCCATTGGTATTCGCGTGTTATTTTCGTTCGTGATATCATCTGGATGTCTATTGCCGAGAAAACCTTTTTTGGGCTCATCCTGCTGAACATGGGTGTTCAAAACGTTAACCACCCAATTCAGAGTTTGGAGTCCTACAGATTGGCGTATTGCCTTCAAAATTACAACACGTTGGCGCCCCACCGCAGCCAATGACCATGGCCAAATTCACCTCTCTCTCTCTCTCTCTCTCTCTCTCTCTCACACACACACACACACACACACACACACACACACACACACACACACACACACACACATCTGTAGCTTCTATCCTCTTCTCCCTCTGTCTTCTTTCTGTTGTTGTCCACTTGCTGCATGGTCTGGGATTCTCCTGTGTTTCTAAGCGCCCAAGTGTGGTACCTTCAACATGTGCCAAATAGTCAGTGCAACTTTGTATGGAGTGCCTGCAGCAGTGCTAGGACGGCTGCTGTGTTTGGGATGCCTGTTCCTGTGTGCTTCACGGGTGACGACTGACATTTGTAGAAGTGACTCCGTGGCTCCGATGGTGGTGTGAACCTAGTCTGTAGAGTTCTACTTGCGGTGTGACTGGTTGATGATCTGGTTTGGCCTGTGCTGTATGCGTGTACTGCTTTGTTGGTGCTCGGCCTTGCTGGCTGGCTGTTCTTCCGCCTGCGTTGTGTCCGTAACTCGTCAGTGGTGCCCTGCTGCGTTGCTGCTCTGTTGATTGCCTTGTGTGCTGGCCTTGCTTCCTGGCTGCCCATGCGCTTTGCCCCTCCCTATGCCTCGCTGCCTTCTTCCCTTGCTACTCATTGCGCTGCCCTGCTGCTAAGCCTTGCTGTGTCGTTTGGCTCCCCATCTGCGTCCCCCGTGCCCTCCAGCCTATGTGCCTTGCTGTGGCTTGCCATTCAGTGTTCTATTGCCTCACTCTTGCCTTTCTGCTTGTGGTGTCGCCAAGCTGACTGTCCACTTAAAAGAGGGTTAAGGAAATCATGACTCAAAACATCGATCTATGGGACTTTTGCAGACTGTCGAGGCTTCAGCCTCCTGACGAGTCGGTGCAAGTCTGACGAAAACATCCGGCGACTTCTTTGGGGTTTTCTTTTCTCTTGCTGTGGTTCGCTTTGAACTCATGCGATTCCTGCCTTTCACCCTTCCAACTGCCTTCTCCAAGATGTTTGCACCCCACGCCCGTCTCTGCTCAATGCATAGTTGTTTAGAGAATCGTCTTCTCGTGGTATTGCATGATTGTCCCCCGAGTGCTGGAGACGGGGAAAGGAGGGAAACACGTCAAGTACAGTTTTGTAGTGGAGAATTACTGCATTTTTTTTTTTTCATGCACGCAGCGCCGCGCACTGCAGCATGTGGCAATGTGCAGCCCGCACAAAGAGGTTCTCCTCATGTCTGTCTCGCGACTGTAGTCATGCGCCAGCAGCCTGCGGGAAGCCTGCCTGTTTTGCAATGCAAAGTTTTCACCGTACAACATGATTTCTGAGAATTTTGAAATCTGCTTGTTGACCTTCGTTCTGAACTGTGATGGTCGCTCGTTTGCAGTCTTATTAGGACGCGGTGTGTTTGGTGATAAGTAGACGAAGAGAGGAGTCTTCACACTTCAGCATACCTGGGCCGAAGGCATGTTCGAGATAATATGCGAATCAGCTTGTTGGTTGTGGGATAGACAATCTGCAGCATGGATTCTACCATCTTTTTTTCTCGAACAGCCGGTCATTATCACTGTATCTAGACGGCCAGTTACCCCGAATACAGCTATGAAGACTGGGCGTTCTATTCGGGTGAAGGCGATAGTATCCTAATGGATAAATGGTGAACTATGTATATACTATATAGCCAACACCTTATGGCAATCTATGACCACATTCTTTGGCCAAATGATCAGTGGTAATGATTGCTGGGACTGGACGGCTAATCTTCAGGGTCTTGCCTGAGTGGAAGTTGAGCTGTCTGGCGTGTCGAGTGGGGATCTAAAAGAACACCTGGACAGGTGATCTGTACGGTTAAATCACCAGTACTAACACCTGGACAGGTGACCTGTACGGTTAAATCACCAGTACTTTTGACCCTTCCGTTACCGAGAAGAATTAATCCACCAGTACTTTTGACCCTTCCGTTGCCGAGTAGAATTAAACCACCAGTAATTTTGACACTTACGTTACCGAGTAGAATTAACCCCCCTGGTCCACCAGTACTTTTGACCCTTCCGTTGCCGAGTAGAATTAAACCACCAGTAATTTTGACCCTTCCGTTGACGAGCCTGGAAACGCCCTGCAACGGCAAAAAGAAACGGACTGGTGTGGGCCTTTTTTGGCTGGTGCCGACAGGCATTTTCTCCAGTAGCCGGACCCTCGAAAACTTGCGGCCGCGCGCATGCTCCAGTAGCCCGACCCCCGAAACTTGGGGCCGCGTGCATGTGGCATCGGAGAGAAATGGCTGCCAAATGTACTGGTTGTTTAAAAACAGTTCAACTGAGTGGAAGATCAGCTGTCCGGCATGTATGTTGAATGGAGGTGTGAAGGAACACCTGGCGCAAAATTTAATACTTTGTTGCTGCTATCATTCATCATTTTTGCAACCAGAAAACAGATGAAAAGACCTGGAATCGTCCTCCGGAACGTCCGTTCAAGGCAAAAGTTGAAACACTACAGAGAAGATCAGCATGGCCCCTAAAATAGAAAACAGCTGGAACCAAATTTGGTTTGGGAGCTCTAGTCCACAGTTGGCGAATGTCAT